TCCTGTGCATGCAGATTTTAACTCAGTCCTACCACTTGCAAATGTCCACTTTCAACTAGCCTTGTTGTTAAGGATGGACATTGTGCGAGTTTGCTGAGACTGGTATTACTCTGGTATGTGAACTCAGTTCAAACACTCACTCATTAGACAAGCACTTTACGACTTGAGCCATGTTTCTAAGTCTGTTTTTGGCATTCCTTAATGTTGAATAAGATGTCATTTTTGGCCTGGATTACTAGTATGCACTGCGATCTTCTAATGTTCCACAAGTGGCTGAGATGGCAAGTATGCTCTGTCACACCAGGTTTTTTATTCGTTGGGGTGAGTCTCATGGACCATGTTCAGGCTGCCTTAAAAGTGAAATCTTCCCACTCTTAAGCATTCTGAGGAGTAAGACTGCAGGCATGAGCCACTGCAAATCAACTGTTTTCAAAGCTAAACTCAACTTAAAAACAGACAATAGACAAAGCAACATTTCTATTTTAAGCAAAAAAAGGTTGTCTTACTATTTCAGTGGAAGTCTCAACTAGCACATTGGGGCATCTAAAAAGACACAGAATTTTAAGTTAATCTTTGATTAAATGTGACTTGGGTGTGTCTCAATCAAATCAAGTTGACAACCAGGACTAATGGTCATAGGTAGCCTGGATAGAGACATGCCGGTTTTTACTGATCTTTCCAAAGAATCAGATTTTAGTTTCATTGTTTTTGTAATAATTGTTTTATTTAAAAGTTTCAGAGACTTTTAGAGTTTCTATTGTATTGCCTTACTTCATACCATTTTCTAAAGACTTTACCAATTTCAAATCATATATATATATATATATGTGTGTGTGTGTGTGTGTGTGTGTTGATTGACTGGAAATATCTATATATAGATATATAGGATATGTAGATATGATATATAGACATATATGTTTCCAGTTTATAAATTACTTTGTAAGCATTGCATGGATTTAGACTGGAAATATCTATATATAGATATATAGGATATGTAGATATGATATATAGACATATATGTTGCCAGTTTATAAATTACTTTGTACGCATTGCATGGATTTCACAGATTTATTCTACTGGAATTTTTATTCATTTAACTCACAAATTTATGAATGGTCAATTGAGACTTCTTTGTTCCAAGAGAATTGAAAATCAGGCATGTAACAAAATTATTCCCCCTATACATCTGTCATGTAACAACTGATATCTCCTTGAAATAAAACAACTAATGATTGTGCTGAAAATTTCTTTATCATTTTGTTACTACTAACATTTGAGCTCAAAGCTTTGTGCTTAAGAAGCAGGCACTCTCCCATCCCATTCTGCATCCCCTCATACAGTGTTCCATACGGTCAGTGTTCCATATGGTCTAGAAAGAGTAAATACTCAACCTTATTCACAGGACTCTATTTTTTTGTTGAGAAACATCATCACCTTGGCCTCAGGAATTTATCTTAGGCTCCCCTTCCTACTTGAGCAAAGCCTCATTATCAATTGCAGGTGAGATACTAGGACATCCCCAGGATTTTTTCTGATCTTACAGCTACAGCCCTGTGTGTGTGAGTAGCCCTACGTAAGAGTGCATTGCTCACTATTTACTCAACATTTGCTCCAACATTTATCCCATCACGTTATATACCTCCAAGAGAAACACTGTATATAACTTTTTACATCAAATGTCTGTAAGAAAATGCTGTCTTCACTCAGGAAGTTGGACTTACTTGAAGTACACATCAACATGCATATAGAAATATCAGACAGAAAAAGTGATGTATTGCATGAAAAGAGGCACTGAGGACTTCTAGGTATTCACCATAAATATTTTCTCTCTCATTTTATATTTTTTTCCTTTTCTTTGCTGATCTTGGGTGTTGCCCCTAAGCTTTTTGTGCTCAAGGCTAGTACACTACCACTTGAGCCACAACTCCACTTCCAGCTTAATTTATTGAAATAGTTTATTTAGTAGTTTAGAAGTTTATTTCGTAATTTATTGAAGATAATAAATTAAACAGGTCTCTACGCATTCACACACAGTGTTACCAAAGAAGCATGTTCTTAGGAACACAAACACATCTTTATAGTAACAATAGAAAAATGCTGTATGCCATGAAATGAGATGTGAGAATGACATTCATGATCAAACTGTACTTGTGGCAGAACTGATTATGTCAATAATTGAAAATTCTCCTGAAGGTCTTCAGTTTCCTCTCTCTCTACTGGCAACAGGGTGTTGTATAATTCTTGTCCCTGACTCAAGCTAATGATTGAATTTCCACAGTACCTTTAACTATGTCTGGTGTTGACAGCACCACAGGGAGTGGATGGACTTCATTTTGGACTTCTGGTGCCACCTTCAAAGGTCTTCAGATCTCATCTATCATGATGGTTGCTACGGAAGATATTTGCAGAAAATGGTGTAATAAATCAGCTTCATGACAGAAAACCAAAAGAACTAAGTTATGCAGAATTTATACCTCTGATGTGTGGTTTTTCTTTTTCCAAAGTAGAGCCCATGCCTGTCAGAGTGGAGTTCTGCAAGTTCATGGTTAGTATTGCATTCCCTTTCCCCTTCATCTATCTCTCCACTTACACTAACTCTTCCCTCCCTTTCAAACTATGTTTCAGCTCTGCGAATTACTCAAAGGGTCTATTCCAGGGAGTTTCACTCCTGTATCTATTATACATTCTTTATCTAGGGGCTGTGTCTTTAGGCAGTGATTCCAGAATTCTTACTAAATTTCTTCTTTTTCTTTCACACCTCCTGCTGTTGGGGGAGGGGGTGGGAATGACACAAAGTACAGCTCATGGTGAGCTCTGCACAGCTCTTTGGCTCTCCTGGTAACGTGTGTGTGTGTGCGCGCGCGCGCCAGTCCCAGAGATTGAACTCAGTCTTAGGCACTGTCCCTTGAGCTTTTTGGATAATGCTGGCACCCTTATCACTTGAGCTTAACCTAACCCAGTTCTGGCTTCTTGCTAGTCAATTGGAGATAATTCAGTCTCGAAGACTTTCCTGCCCAAGCCAACTCAAACTTCAATTCTCAGATTGAGGTAGGATTATATATGCCACAGGGCCTGAGCTACCTTGGTGACTTGAAGTGACTTTAGGAAAGAAGTCAAAGGACCTATATTCCTTTGTTATGATTTTCCCTCATGAAAATGTCAGCAAGTGGCCACTTTATAACAAGAATATATTTCCATAATTTGCTGATTTCAGAATTCAGTATCAGACAAGCTCCTCTGTTTGAATTCCAATGAGTTGTCCCTGTTTACTGTCATTATAGGGCCGAGAAAATAGAAGGTAACAGTCCCATGGAGAAATGCCTGAGCATATGTGGTAGCCCCACTTTATAACAGCACCTCTAATGTACCTGGCAGAATCATCCTCAATCCCTGAACTTTTGACTTCAAGTTCCCACTTCTTTAACATCTCTCTATGCTGGATTAGACAGCTTCCAACATACCTCCCTTTGAAAAACTCGATCAAGCCGAGTGCCAGTGGCTCACACCTGTAATCCTAGCTACTGAGGAAGCTGAGATCTGAGGATCATGGTTCAAAGCAGGCCCAGGCAGGAAAGTTCATGAGACTCTTATCTCCAATTAACCACCAGAAAACCGGAAGTGGTGCTGTGGGTCAAGCAGTAGAGTGCTCACCTTGAGCTGAAGACCCTAGGGATAGCACCCAGGCCCAGAGTTCAAGCCCCCATGACCAACAAAAAAAAAACACAAACCATATGCAAACCCCAAAGCAGTGGACAATTATGGAAAACAAGCTTTCAGCTTTCACACTTCCAGCTTTTTGCTGGTTAATTGGAGCTAAGTATTTTCACAACCAGCCTAGGCTAGCTTCAGGTATCAATACTATGATCTCAGCCTTCTTGCATTTGCAAAGATTACAGGCATGAACCACCAATTCCAGCCTAGAATTTCATTTGTATGTAAGAAACAGAAAAGTGCACTTAACTTCCTTAAAGTCTTGCTATTCCATGCCATCTTTTGTGAGACCTACAAAGAAATAGAGCAGCAGTGTATTGGTAATTGGTGATATAAATCACTTGAGCTGTGGATGTGGGATGGGACCTGTGAGTGGTTGACAAGGATAGATTGAGTTGCCCATTCTGCTTAGAGGAAAGATAGCCATAAAAATACACAAGCATTCCTCCACTGGAGGAAGATGGCAAAGGAGAAGCTGCTAAACAAGCTCTCAAATATAAACCAGTTTTAGTGTTCCAGTGGAAAATCTAAGGCTAGAGAGTCACACCAAGTGTGCCATCATGATACAGAGATTTTGGCCAGAGGAAATATTCAGGCAGCTTGGTTAAGGACACAGATTTGAACACTCAAGTGTCTGTGGTGGCAGTAGTGGCTAGTGCTGCAGCCACCATATCAACAGAGAGAGCCTAGAACAATGGCGCCAGAAGCAGTGTGTGAACAGATTCTACTCACTGCCAGCAAGAACTGACAAGCAGAAATCTTCATCCTGCTGACTATAAGGTCTGCCCCGGGCTCTGAAGGCCTGGTGCAGACACCTCCCTACCTCTTGGCTAAGTTTCCACCCAGTATCTGTTACCTAGGTAACTGGCACACCAGGAAGCCGACACCTTCCCTTCCAGATTGGTTATATCCTTGGCCACCTCTTTGCACATGCCTCCCATCTGACCATAGGAGGGTCCCAGGCCATGAGGTCACATCCTGATCCAGTGTGGCCACACCTCTTCTTGTCCCTGGCCTACATAAGTTCTGGAACAGGGGTGGGTCACCTTTTTTCAGTCATGCTTCTCCACCATGTATGGTAGAGGCAGCAGTTTGGTAAAAAAAACTTCTTTTTCTGCCTGAATAACGCATGGTGTTCTCTTCATTGATTACCTAATGAAAACTACCTATTTAATATACCTTACACTAACCACAGATAGTCAAAGATGGTGGACGGCCTGGAAACCAAAGGAAAGGTGTGACTGCCCCCAAGACATCCTCACTCCTTCTCATGGAGCAGCAGTGGGAAGATGGCCCCCACCACCACCACCAGAGAAGCCTTGGAAGAACACAGTAGGAGCCATTCAACAGGTCATAGGAACCTGAACTGCAGGGCTCAGCTCCACCCCTGGGGAAAGTTGCCCCTCCCAAGCAGAGAGAACTACACATGGGCAGAGCAGACTCTTCTTAGTGGGTGAACAGTACCAGGGGCTACTCTATCCATCTGCAGCATGAGCAGCAACTCCAGCTGTTAGAGGTTAAAAGACAATCAATTGGATACTCATTACACACAAATCCTGAGATTGGCTGCAGGCTGGGCTGCTTGAGTTTCTCAGGAGCTAGCACATCAGGGTAACACTACTGATTGCTGACAGGCCACAGCCCTACCTACAACCCAGCTCCCTCACAGCAACTCCAAGCTAGAAGAAACAGCCAGCTCCCTCTTTTGTGATACTCAAAGTAGATCACCCTCCCACTGAGCTAGCCTGGGAGGAGGGTCATAAAGTCCCAAGTAAGGCAGAGCTTCATTCTGCCTGCTTAAACTGATTTAAGAAACCAAGAAAACCAAACACCATAAGCAATCCATAGGCTCCACCAAGAGACTGGTTACTGACACAGGGGAGACATAAGATCCCCCCCCCCAAAAAAAAAATTCGAACTTTTCTTTCTACCTAATTTTTTTGAAAAAAAAATTTTAACTGCTATTTTTTTCATCATTTTTATTTTAGGTTTGTTTTGGGGGTTTTTCTTTTCTTTTTTTATTCTCTTTATACTCTTGTCTTTTAGTCCTTTCTGGGTTTGTTTTTTTTTTTTGCCTTAATGGCTGTTCTTTTCCTTCCCAGATATATACCTGTCTTAGACCTTAGCCTCCATTGTGTGCATCCTTAATTACTCAATTCACAAAATCCCAGTCTTAACTCCTTTAATTGTATTATTTCTTCATACTTATACAATTTTTAAGTGTTTCATTTAAAAAAAATTTTTTGTCGGTCGTGAGTGCTATCCCTAGGCTCTTCAGCTCAAGGCAAGTGCTCTACCACTTGAGCCACAGAACCACTTCTGGTTTTCTGGTGGTTAATTGGAGATAAGAGTCTCACGGACTTTTCTGCCTGGTCTGGCTTTGAACCATGATCCTCAGATCTCAGCTTCCTCAGTAGCTAGGATTACAGGTGTGAGCCACCAGCACCCGGCTTCATTTTAAATTTTTTTATTTTTCATTTTTCTTTATCTCTCTTTTCCTTTCCTTCTATACCTTCCCTCTCTCTGAATTTAGATCTTGGCTATATTCCCTCTCTCACTTTCCCCTTCCTACATTTTTCCAATCTTATTTTCTCCTCACAATTCTCCCTAAACCTATTAATTTCTGGTCTGCTGACTGCTTCTTTGATTTTTCTTAGTCCATTGAGCCCTAGTTGTTTGTTGTTGAACTAGACTGTACCTGTTGACCTAGATTGTATCTGTACTCATTTTGACTGCATCAAACAATTGGTACAACTACAGGGCTCTGGTTGATGCTTGCCTTAAATAGTATTCTAGGTCAGAATTGGTTTGGCTTTCATACTGGAATGGGCAGAAACGTGAGAAAAACGGCAGGTCCAAGTATCTCAACTCCCACTCATGATAATCAGGCAATAGAGCAGTTAATGAATAATCCAGAGGAGAGTTCCCAAAATGCTCTACAAATGCTATTGGTAAACATGCTGAATGAAAATATTGAAAGCCTGCAAAGGACTCTGTATGAGCGGGAGAGAGAAATGCATGAGTGTGATGAGACTAACCAAAGATTAATACAGAAATATCATGAGCATGATGAGGCTAATCAAAGATTAATAGAGGAATTGCTTGAGCAGGATGAGAATAGATGAAGATTAATAGAGGCATTCATGGAATCGATGAACAGACAGCTGGAGGAATCCAGGGGGACCACAAAGGGAATGCTGAATGAAGCCCAACAGAAGGAAAGGGAGTCCAGTGAAACTATAACCAATCAAGGGATTTGAGAATGAACACTAAAAACAAATTAGGGAGGTAAAGAAGTCCATACAAGATCTAAAACAAAGCTCTAGAAAGGAATTTGAAGCCATCAAATCTGACCAATTAGAGGGAAAGGAAATAAAGTAGATGGGGAAAGTCTTGTAGGTAAGACCAATCAGAAGATCGAATCTTGGTGATTGAAGTCAGCATAGATATTATAAAGAACATACGACTATTCCCAACCCAATAAATATGACAGATCTATTCAACTTTCAGAATATGGTATCAGAAGGTCTAATTTGAGGCTAATGGGTGTAGAGCAGCACATACAGATAGAAGTTAATGGTCTAGGAAATTTATTTAACAGGATCCTAGCAGAGAAGTTCCCAAAAGATAGGCAAAAAGATAGGCACATTCAGATACAAGAAGCTTTTAGAACCCCAAATAGACCAGACCAGAACAAGACATCCCACCATCACATTATAATCCACACAGGATCAATTCAGACCAGGAAAGGATCCTTAAAGCTGTAAGGAGAAAATATCACCAATAAAGGGACCAAACATGATAATAACTTCAGATTTCTCACCAGAGACAAAGCAAGAAGAGCCTGGAATGATGTATGCCTCACCCTAAAAACAAACAACCATCAACCAACTGTACTAAACTCTCCTTCATAATGGAAGGAAAAATAAAAACCTTCCACAGCAAAGAAAAACTGAAGCAATATATCTCCAACAAACCAGTCCTACAAAAGATACTTAAAGATGTCCTACACATAGAAACCCAACAAGACCACAATAAAGGCCAAGAAACAGCCCCCAAACAGAGAATCCAAGAATCATAGGAAGAACCCAGTTGGCACAGCCTCCAAGAAGGTGGATAAATAACATGGCAGGAACTACCAAACACCTCTCAGTCATGTCAACATTAATGGACTTAACTGTCCAATTAAGTGACAGACTGTCTAGTTGGATTAAAAAGCAAGATCCTTCTATCTTAAACTTTCAAGAGACACACCTTGACAAATATATTCTAAAAAGCGAAAGGCTGGAATAAAATCTACCAAGCCAATGGCCTCCATGAACAGGTGGGAGTTGCAATCCTAGATAAATTAGACTTTGAGTTGAAATTAGCAAGAAGAAATAAGGTCATTACATACTAATTAAGGGATCTCTCTTTCAGGAGGATATTACAATTTTAAACATCTAGTCACCAAATAACAGAGCACCCAAATTTATCCAAGAAACACTACCTTCCCTAAAATCACACATAGATCCAGAAACATTACTTGTTGGGGACTTTAACACACCACTATCTCCACTGGATAGATCAACCTGGCAATAACTCAACAGAGGAACCGCAGATCTAAACAAATGAATGGGTAAACTAGACTTAACAGACATCTACCAAATACTTCACCCAACAGAATCAGAATACATGTTCTTCACAGCATCACATGGAACATTTTCCAAAATAGACTACATTTTAGGTCACAAAGCAAACTTGTCCAAATTCAGAAACATTGAAATTATGCCCTGCATTCTCTCAGACCACAAGGGAATAAAAATAGAACTCAACACCAAAAGCCACCAAAGAAAATCCTGTAACACATGGAACCTGAACAACACACTGTTGAACCACCAGTGGGTCATGGAAGAGATTAGAAAGGAAATTCAAATGTTCATGATATTTAACAAAAATGAACACACAAATTACCAGCTCCTCTGGGACACAGCAAAGGCAGTATTCAGAGGCATGTTTATAGCTCCGAGTTCCTACATCAAAAAATTTGGAGAGATCTGAAACCAACAATTTAATGACACAGCTAAAACTCCTTGAAAAAGAGCAACAAGCTAAACCCCAATCCTGTAGGCAGAAAGAAATAATTAAAATTAAATCAGAATTAAATGAATTGAGTCCCCCCAAAAAAACATAGAAAGAATCAACAAAACAGAGCTGGTTCTCTGAAAAATTAACAAGATTGACAGACCCTTAGCAAATCTTATCAGAAAAAGAAGAAAACACATCCAAATAAACAAACTCAGAGTTGAGAATCACAGAAACAATCAAGATTCAGAACATTAAAAGGGAATACTTCTCAAACCTTCATGCTAATAAGCTTGAGAATATGGAAGAAATGGATGAATTTCAAGCAAATATTGATATGCCCAAACCAAAATGATTTAAACCAACTTGACAGACCCATATCAAGCATCAGAATAGAAACAGCAATAAGAACCCTCCCACCCAAGAAAAGCCCAGGACCAGATAGATTTACAGCTGAATTCTACAAGGCTTCAAAGCAAAACCCACACCAATACTCCTCCAACTCTTCAATGAAATTGAAAGTTCACTACCAAACTCTATGAAGACATCATAGCCCTCATCCCAAAACCAGGCAGGGACTCATCAAAGGAAGAGAACTATAGACCCATTTCTTTATGAATATCGATGCAAAACTACTCAACAAAATTCTGGCAAATTGACTTCAACAACTCATCCAAAAAAATCATACATCATGATCAAACAGGATTCATTTCAGGGATGCAAAGCTGGTACAATATATGCAAATCAATTCATCACAACAAGAGCAAGGATAAGAACCACATGGTTATCTTAATAGATGCAGAAAAAGCATTTGACAAGATCCAACATCCATTTATGCTGAAATCTCTGAAACTCAGAATCCATAGAACATTCCTCAATATAATAAAGGCAGTGTATGACAACCTACAGCCAGCATTATACTCAATGGTGAAAAACTAAAGCCATTTCCTCTAAACTCCACAATGAGAAAAGGATGTCCACTCTCTCCACTTCTCTTCAATCTAGTATTAGAATGCCTAGCTACAGCAATAAGATGAGATGCAAACATAAAGGAGATCCAAAGAGGGAAAGGTAAAGTAAAACTCTCCCTCCTTGCAGATGACATGATCTTATATTTAAAGAATCCCACGGACTCCACTCCCAAATTACTCCAGCTGATTCAAAACTTTGGCAAAGTAGCAGGGCATAAAATTACCCTCAAAAATCAATGGCTTTTCTGTATGCCAACAATGAGAAGAGAGTGGCTGAAATAAGGAAAGCAACTCCATAATAGCCCCACAAAAAATAAAATACCTAGGAATTAACCAAAGAAGTAAAGGACCTCTATGATGAAAACTTTTAAAAAACTGAAAAAGGAAATCAAAACAGAACTTAGAAAGTGGAAAAACCTCCCATGTTCATGGATTGGAAGGATCAACATTGTGATAATGGCAATACTTCCCAAGGCTATCTACAAATTCAATATGATGCCTATCAATAGTCCAACCTCATTCTTCAAAGAAATAGAAGAGGCAATCCAAAACTTCATCTGGAACAACAAATCCTCAAAGAAACAACTGCCAATAAGTGGGCTTAAAGAGAAACTTCTCTGAAGAGGAAAGAAGGATGGCCAATAGACACATGAAGAAATGTTCAACCTCCCTAGCCATAAAAGAAATGCAAATCAAAACAACTTGGAGATACCACCTCACCCCAGTTAGAATGGCTAAAATCAAGAACTCTAACAACAGATGCTGGAGGGGATGTGGACAGAAGGGAACCCTACTGCATGGTTGGTGGGAATGTAAACTTGTTCAACTACTTTGGAAAGTAGATTAGATGTTCCTCAAAAGACTCCACGTAGAGCTCCCCTATGACCCAGCAATCCCACTTTTAGGCATTTACCCAAATGATCACAAACAAGACCATACTAAAGCTACTAGCACAACTATGTTTATTGCAGCATTATTTACTATAGCTAAGATCTGGAACCAACCCAGATGCCCCTCAGTAGATGAATGGACCAAAAAATGTGGTATATATACACAATGGAATTCTATGCCTCCATCAGAAAGAATGACATTGTCTCATTTGTTAGGAAATGGAAATACTTGGAAAAATTTATATTAAGTGAAGTAAGCTAGGCCCAAAGAAACACAGGTCCTGTGGTTTCCCTTATTTGCAATAACTAGAGTATGTCTGAGGCAAGCAGAAAAGGTCAGATAAGTTGATGTTAGGGAAATGAACCCCAAGATAAGTATTCAAATATTTTTTTCTGTCTTGAAATTTTTTCTAATATATTTATAAGATAATTTCTTTGTTGCTTTGTATGTCCCTCCCCCACGGTATAATCCCTGTTTTCATTGTATTTGATGTTGGTATAATTTGTGGAAGGGAAAGGCAAAAACAAACCGTTTAAATAGGGATACAGGTGGACCCATTGCAACAATGTTGAAAAAACGAACTTTAGAACTTGGGGGAGAATGAGGAGGGGAGGCTGGGAAGGAATGGGAAGGGGAAACAAAGGAGGAGGCAAAAATGCTTCATAAGAAATGTACTCATTACCTTGCCCATGTAATTGTAACCCCTCTGTATGGTATTTTCACAATAAAAAAATTTTTAAAGATCAGTGAATATTCTGAATCCCTGAAACACTGAAAGACAAATTACGAGTATCATGAATGATAAAACAGACATTGCAAAGTACGATGATAACGGAAATGTTTGAAAAACTGTACCCACTACAGCTTAACTACTTTGACATTTCTGAATATTTGCTTTATAAAATTCAATTCTCTTTCACGTTCAAAACATCAACTAATTAAGCAACCAAAAATGCATGATCACAAGAAGTAAATCTCTTGTAACCAAGGAAAAATAATAATCCCTCTAGCTTCATTTGCTCTTAGTTGACTTGAAATCACTGATTTTGGCTAAGCATTAGTGACTCACACTTGTAATCCTAGTTACTTAGGAGCCTGAGATCTGAGCATCACCATTCAAAGCCAGTCTGGGCAGGAAAATCCTTGAGACTCTTGTTTACAGTTAACCCGCAAAAGGCTGGTAAGATAAGAGTCTCTCTGACTTTTCTGCCGGAGCCAGGATCAAACCATAAACCCTCAGACCTCAGTCCTCACAGTCTTGATCTTGGGAATTATGACTCTGCTTCTTACATTCATAGCCACCCTGTATTTTAATCTATTTTTAAATGCTGTTTTTTTTCTTTTAGATCTCATGCTTTTGCTCTGGCACAAGCAAACAATTCCAGTCACTTGACTAGAATTATGAAGGCTTTAAGGCTGGGTTAGGTGGAAAAGATTTCAGAAACTGCCTAATTTGGGGAGTGTAACAGGTATATTCTTTCTTGCATCCTAGCTCCCCTGACCCTCTGTGTCCCTGGATCATCTTTTGAAAGGACATAGATATACTTACAAATAGGGAGGTTGTGAAAAGTACAAGGTGCAGTGGGTGTCTCACATTTGTAGGCCTAGATACTCAGGAAGCTGAGGCCTGAACTTAGTCAGAAAAGTCTAGGAGGTTCTAATCACCAATTGTCTACCAAAAAGCCATAAAGAGAACTGTGGCTCAATCACTAGCCTTCAGAAAAAGAAAAAGCTCAGGGACAGAGTCCACAAGCCCAACGAACAGTAAGAAAAGGAAGAGAGAGACAAGAGAGAATATAAAAATATAATGTTTGTTCTAAAAATAACAAGGGCCAACATTTTCATGCTTCTTAAATCCTTTACAGGTGATACTTAGCTCCACAAACCACATACCACAAATCTGCTTCATTTTCATGTAAGAAATATAACATATTCAAGTGAGAAGAGAGAATTTACCTGGGATTTCTGCTCCCAACCTCAAGTCCTTGGTGGGCTACCAGCCTTGCACTTTGTGGTAGGTTCATGGTGGGTGCATTCTTTTTTTGGGGGGGAGGGGGGTCCGGTCGTGGGGCCTGAACTCTGGGCCTGGGCGCTGTCCCTCAGCTCTTCAGCTCAAGGCTAGTGCTCTACCACTTGAGCCACAGCGCCACTTCTGGCTTTTTTCTTTTTGCTTATATGGTGCTGGGGAATTGAACCCAGGGTCTCATGCATGCAAGGCACGCGCTCTACCACTGAGCCACCTTCCCAGCCCCATGTGGGTGCATTCTTGTTCCCACAGTTCAGACCACAAGGGAAGCATCTACCCACAAGAACTCTGCCCATCATTGATCCATACACCCCTTGTGGCAAAAGAGATTGATCCAAAGACCAGTGATCAATAGGCTAAAACCAAGCAAGTGAAAATATGTAAAAGTGAAATCCAAAGATAAATCAGGGGTACAAAAAATATTTAAAGAAAGGATATCTTAAATTTGGGATCAGATCCTAGATCTGAATCAACTGTAAACCCACAAATCCAAAGAGTTTAACGGTCCATAGACACCATCTCACACTGAACTACAAAAAGACATTAACATCATACAAGGGACTAAGGTAAGATTGCTTGCACTCTTCTTGTCAAATCCCATGCAGTCCAGAAAGTGAAACAGACTTCAGAATGAGGTTAAAGAGGACTACCAATACAGGATTGTATATCCCATGAAAATGAAGAGGAAATAAGACACCCTCAGACAAAGTAGAGCCAAAAAGTTCTGTTGGTGGCAGGTGGCAGACCTACATTATGAGAAATGTTGAAGTCCTGGCCTGGGCCGCAGCCCGGACAGAGCGGGGGCCCGTGGCCTGCGAGCCACTCGCTCGTGTGAGCAGAGCCGGGCGCCGCGTGCGGTGCACGAGCCAGGGGACGCGCGGCCCGGGTGACCCGTGCGCAGCCGGCCCGCGGCGCGGCCTCCCAGCCCCGAGCGCCCTTGTGCGGGCCCTGGGTTGAGGAGCGCGCGACCCCGGCGCGGAGCCCGCGGGGGTCCGGGCTCGGCCGCGCAGGTTCCCTTCCCGTCATGCCCATCCCGCGCCGGTTGCACTCCTTCCACGACCCCCACACCACCTGCCTGCACGCGGCCTGCGGGCCCGTGCGCACCTCCCACCTGGCACGCACCAAGTACAACAACTTTGACGTGTACATCAAGACGCGCTGGCAGTACGGCTTCATCCGCTTCCTGCTGTACTTCAGCTGCAGCCTCTTCAAGGCTGCTCTGTGGGGAGCACTGGCCGCCCTCTTCTGCCTGCAGTACCTGGCCGTGCGTGTGCTGCTGCGCTTCCAGCTCAAGCTGTCTGTGCTGCTGCTGCTGATGGGCCGCCGGTGCCTGGACTTCCGCTTGCTGAACGAGCTGCTCATCTACGCCATCCATGTGACCATGCTCCTGGTCGGGGGTCTGGGCTGGTGCTTTACGGTCTTTGTGGACATGTGAGGGAATCGGCTTCTATGGGCTTTCATGGTGCCCTGTTCTGGTTCTTCCTGGCTGCCTGCGGCTGGTCTGGGCTTTTTCTGTCCCATCCTGCAGGCGAGGCCTACAGCACATGCTCCCACGAGGGAGCCAAAAGGGCTGAGACTGCTCGCTCATGGGGACCCTGACCCCTTCCTCCTGCTGGCTCTGTGCTACGGTTCCTGGGTTCCAGTCCAGGCCCAGCAGCCCTCAGGGCCTCCTGCCTATAGTTCTCACGGGCACTTTTCCGTGTTGTCCTCTGGGGTGGCCTATCTGCCCAGTCTGCTCCTGAGACCCGTGTCACCCAGATCAGCATTAGGCCCCACCAGCGAAGGGTCCTGGACACAGAGGGGCCTCCTGGCCTCACGGCCCCTTCCCACTCACCACTGTTCCCCCACCCCAGCCTCAGGGACTGGTCAGGGTCCACTAGCAGACACCCCACACTGCCACAGAGCTGTCCTGAGGCTCAAGAGTCGCTTGGGTTGGTTCATGCAATCCAGCAGTGTGCCAAAGACAACACTGGCGGGTGCCTGGGGCAGGATCCCCGGGAGCACAGGCCTGCGTGCCTGCGCCCGCAGACAGCCCCATGCCTTCACTGGGCAGGCGCGCTGAGAACAGCAGGGCAGCGGGGTGACCTCGTTGGCTTTGGGGCCTTTGATTCTCTTTCTCTGTGGGGTTGGGAGCTGCCTGTCTCCAGCAGAGGGCAGAGGTCTTGCTGGGACCCACCACAGAGAACATAGTACATTGTCTCCTAGACTGGCATGTGCAAAGGCTGTCTGTAGGCCGGTAGCGGCTCCTGGTCCCTCCCATGGCTACTAGAGCATGCCAGACGTGACATAGACATGGGTCTAGGAGAGTGTCCACCCCAGGAGCACCCAGACCCCTGTTCTGGTCTTTGTGGGGGGTGGAACATGGCACCTGTGTGTGCTGTGGGCCTGAGTGTTAGTGAGATGTGGGAGTGGTGAGGCTGGGAGTCTGTCACCGGGCTGATCTGAGGATGGTAGTTGGTCAACACTTGCTTCTCCCCAAATTGTCACCCTTACTCCCAAGGCGTGGGTGTGGCCCCTGTGACCCAGCCCTGCCGGGTGAGCCAGTCACTGGGGGTCTGTGAGGACAATGTGCACCTTGAAGGGAAAGTTAGGAAAATCCAAACAGGTAGGGAAAGCGAAAAACACTGGCTGCGAAACAAGCTCTGTAATTCGCAGCCAGCTTCCGTTCACTGGTCTAACAGAAGGGCTCTGTAGAGTTCCGGGGCGGGCAGGTGAGGAGCCTCCCCAGTAGACCCTGCTTCTTGCTGCAGAGAATCTTTTGCACTAAATCATGCTCTTTCCTCAAAGAAGTTTTGTTCTGTGTTAATTAGCTTGTGATACTCAGTGCTGCCGCAGCCCTTGCTGGATGAAGGTAGTATTTGGGGGCTGGTAGCAGAAGGGATGCCGTGCCGGCATGAATGTGAGCAGCAGGGCAGAGGCAGTGAGACCTTGCTGCACGCCCCGCTGCCCAATGTCCCGAGTGCCTGTTAAATTCTTTATGAGATGAACCACCTGCATTAAACCTATTTTTTTAAGTGTTAAAAAAAAGAGAGAGAAATGTTGAAGTCCTTTCTGCAAAACAAAAAATGTTGCCAGATGGAAATCTAAAATCAATACACAGAGAAGGTGCCAGAAAGGGCACATTTAAAGGGCATTAAAAAAAATCACGTAGCTTTAAATGATAATGGCTTCTCCAAAGTAAAATAATAAAAATATAAAAATTGCACAAAAAGGAGACAACTGGAAAAAAATCAGTTTCTTTTTCTCTTTCTTTTTTTTTACATTGAATAGTATAATCTTGGATGCTAGTTGCATCTATCGTGAGCACAGATCAAGGGCCCACAAATCATCACCAGGGTCTACTTCACACCCCTGGTCTGCTAGGGTAGTAGATTTCTACTAACCCAGCCAAAGTGATTGATGACATACATAGTATTCATAGCCACACTGAGAAAGGAAGAGATTTAAGCTACAGGGTGTCCACAGCCTTGCCTCTCTCCCTTCTTAGGGTCTGGGAGCTGCTCTTCTACCTGGTACAGGCTAGTAGTGTCTCCATGTATGCCCTAGGAAAGTCTGGAAGCAGGCTTGCCCCTGCAGGGTCAGGTGTGGGTGTGAGGGAGGGCTTGTTTCACATGGTCTAGGGGCCTTGACCACTGACTGACTCAGAAAGGGTTCCAAGAATACTTGCCAAGCATGTACAAGGTCCTGAGTTCAAACCCTAGTACCACCAAAACAAAGAACTAAATTTTCCTGATCATGCTCACACTATAAGAAATCAAAATCACCCATTTCTTATACCAGGGATCCCAAATAAAACAGCCATGGTGAGGAGTCAGAATCTACATTTAACCAGGGCTCTTTGGCCTGGTGATAACTGGACCCTCTGTTGCCTATTCTTATTTACTCCAACATCATTTAGCACTAGTAAAAGGATGTGAACCCTGCAGTCCAGATTCTTCCCCATTGGCTTTTTGTAAGTGTTAGAAGAAGTATGGGAGGAAAGAATAGATGTTGTCCTTGAAGTTGCAAATTCAGTACTGATGCAGACCCTTACAGTGTAAGCTGAGTGGAAGGCTGGTTGCTACTCAGGAGTGTCTCACTGGAGTAGGAGCAGCCTTGTCATTTCCTATTCATTCTACAGAGCAGTAGCCAATGGCTTAGGACTTACTTCATTTCACCTGCAGCCTGGTTAGCATAAACATGCCTTGAAAGAGGAGCTTGCATACAAACAGGGATAGCTCCATAGGAGGAATGGGGCAACTGCAGAGCTTTAAATAGAAGCAACTCTTATCCCAGTTTTTTTTTCATAGTGTTCAGAAAGCAGAGCCCACTATTGTTCTCCTGAAAGATAATGTCATGCCCTCATTTGACACATTTCTCAGCCAGTGATCAGCTAAACTGTCCAAAACATTTGAATCTGATGATAAAATTTTAAGAAAAATATATGAGAAAGATGTGATAACACTACATTACTCTCCATAATCAAAGCAAGAAATTTCAAACTGTCATAATAAATACAAAGTATCCCCAAGTAAGCAAAGGAATTAGAACAAAATCATTCTCAAACATAAAAAAAGTTTAATAGCCTGACCTTTCTGGCCCTGTGAAACTCATCATTAATGAATAGTTGGGTGGGACTTGAGATTTAGAGACAAGCACCATCCCTGGCTGGGGCCTGAGGAACCAAGAGTCTGTGGCAAACATTTGTGGTGCAATGTGGGGTTAAGAGAGGATACATCTATACTCACGGACTTCCTCATAGCATAATCCTTCCTGAGCATAATATCCAGACCTCTAATATTTTTCCCAGCCCAGCCCCTCTTAGATGGTTAGGAGAGCTACTTTATGCATTTACCAGGCCTTATTTTGATTACTTGTTCATAGAGCTGACTTCTCTGTTTTGCATGCATGGCATGTATGGACTTCTAATTCCAACTTCCAAATCACGAACTACTACTAAAGAGAGATGAAGGGGCTGCGATGATTAGGGCCACGTGAAAAGACCAGAATACGTGTTTTGAGATCATAAAAGTTTTCCACAAGAAAGTGACACACTGTTAAATAAGTGTGTATAATACTTGATTCGAGGCACTTCTCTGTTGAGAGGCCTGTTTAGAAACTAGCATGTTAATGTGTGTATGTGTAAGATTGAGGTTACAATATGCATTACTTCTCATGTTTATTCTCATGGAATCTTTTTTTCTAAGAGTGCCTTGTAGACTAAGCCTGGAGCAGACCATGCTGTGGAAAACCCTGATGAGGATTAACAGTGAGCTCCCCAAAAGGTATCCTGTAAAATTGGGTGACAGGAGCTACTGGACACTTCTAATTTTGAATGATGTAAAATGGATTTGTGCTGTCTTCTTTAGGGGAGGGATAAGAGTCATGTTTTTTGACAAGAAGAACACTCCAGTCTAGTTTCACGTTGTTGATATTGTTTCATTCACATAATCTTCACAACAACTCTCCGATACAGATATCAGTGATCTACATTTCACAGGGAAAGAGACTGACATAAATTATTCAAGCATCAACCACATCTAAGCTCCTTAGCTAGGATTTGATAGGATTTATTTTGTATTTGGAGTCTGAACTTTTTTGTATAGTGGATACACAGGCACAGAATCAATACAGACAGCAGAGTTTGGATATAAAAGAGGTTAAGCTTCATGTTCACATGAGAAATTAATAGTAAATAGTAGGCATTAATGACACACAATCTGAAAAAAATGAGCAAAAGAAAGTCTTCAATGTGGGCTTTTACTAGAAACTCATTTGCAATTAAAGAAAATATTGAAGAATGATTAAAATGTCCATTATGTTGAGTCCATTAATGAGAAGGGTCATGTTACATAAGAGAAACTATTCTGAAGAGTTAAAGAGCAGCAGAATTTTGGGAAACACAAAATATACAGTAAGATGTTTGAAAAAGGCCACAATTCTGCTCTTTAGCATTTTCTTTTTGCCCACTGTGTTGTGTTGTATTGTATTGTATTGTGTTGTATTATGGGATCATCTTCTGATACAACAGGTGAAAAGGCTTTTAGAAATGATTTACTCATTCATCTTTTTCAACTTTTTTTCAGTGCCTGCCTGGGATTTGTACTCAGGGCCTAGGCACTGTCACTGAGCTTTTTGCTCAAGGTCAGCACTTGACTACTTGAGCCACAGCTCCACTTTGGCTTTTTAATTGGAGTTAAGAGTCTCAGACTTTCCTGTCTGGGCTGGCTTTTCTCTTTTGGACATGTTCATGATTTTTAAAAATCCAAATAATAAGGAAAGGGATATTCCGTGAAATAAAAGTTACCCTCACTATCAGACTATTGTGATTCTTCCTTCCGAGGAACCATCTCTCAGTGTCCATCCGGAGAAAATCTGTACATTTGATGAAGCTGCAACCAGGATTTCTCAACAGTAACACCCTCTCCCTTCCTAAGTTTCAACAAGAAAAAAATGTCTCCCTAAAAGGAACTACCGGGCTGAATGGTGTTTGTTGTTCTTGTATCTTTTTCCAAACTTAGGCAACATACTATACATACAGTGGTTACACTGTGTATTTTACCCCTAATATTAGAGCTTACAATTTTTCTGTATCCTTATTTAAAGAACTACCTCTTCCTTTGTGGGTGCATA